TTGTACCAAATATATAAAAGCTTTTTAATTATGTCAGGTAATGGATGGCATTGAAAAAACAAAACTAGCACATCTACAGAAAATCTGATCTAATATATCCAATTAAACCAGGCACCAAAGGACGTTTTACAGTTTTTCATCTTATTTCCATGAGTTTGCGCTGTATTTCACTCTGCCGACTGATGGTTTTGCTTTGTTTATTTCTCCACTTATCTTTTTAGTGTTGCCAGTGTGTTCCCACAATAATCTTCAACCATAGAATTACAGTAGCAAGCAGTGAATTACCTCTGATACTCTTCTCTTTGAAAGTATATTTTCTACTATAGATTCAGAAAACCAGTCTTAAAACTGGTATGCTTTACCCCTATCAGTAAATGTACACCTGCTTTTTCAATAATTCCACCTACTTTGGCCAAACCCTGGGGATACAGCGATATGAACAGCAGGAACTGATCGCCTAAAAGATTGAAAATTATAAATGATAAAACTACAACCACAACTAGAACCAGGTTAACCTTGACATTAGATGACTGGACTTTCCAACCTTCTCTCTGTTTTTTCCATTTCTTGTGTTTATTCTCAAAGAATAGGCAGATAATTAATGGTGACAAGTCCTGGGTATATATCCATCCATCTATTTTTTATGCTGTTTCTTTCTAGTAGGACAGCGGGGGGTTACTACCCCAGGTGGTCACCAATCTATCATAGCGGCACACAAAGACAAACAACCACTCACACTCACATTCACTCCGAGGAGCAATGCAGAGCGTTCAATTTTTGGACAATGGGAGGAAGCCTTAGTACTCAGAGTAGTACACAGACACAGCGAGAAAATGCAAACTCCATACAAAAAGGTCCCTGGTATATAAATGTATCTAAATATATATTTTCTAAGGACCTGGGAGAAAAAGGCAGTCCAATGTAATAATGGGGAAATGTGAGAATTTTCCTCCTTCATATTGATTACCTGCTATTTATGGAGGGGCCCTGTGCACTGTATTCCGTTATACATTTAAAATGTAAATGTAAATCTAAGTGAGGGCATGTCTCATTATTTGATGGTAATTGCAAGTTGATTATCCTCTGTGCATTAGCTGATGCCCCTGTCAAAGTTTGAGAAAATCATCGAGCTTTTATAAAACAAGTCTGTCTTATCACAGATGTGTCCTCCCACAAAGCAAATAATGAAAACTACTATTAAGTAAATCAAAGTAAGCCTTGTAATCATAAGAAAATAAGCAGTGCTTTGTGCTGGGTGTACCCTCCGATGACGCTGATGTCCACATCTTAGATCACTTCAAAGAAACTGTACTCGAGGGGCAAACAGAGCTCAGTTCATCCAACATCCAAGAAGCTGCCGGCTATTTTTTTCCAAATGAATAAATGTGTTGTACCTCCAGCAAAATATGCGTGCATACAGTCCTGTAACAACCTCTGTGCAGTGATGTTAAGTTGGCACTTCAATTCACATAAATCTAATTCCCTGAGCTGGTGTGTTTCCAGATCTTGGATGATGCTGCATTTCAGCTTTATGCATCACACAAATAAATCAGTTCTCCTCATGTCTCGTTCCCTCTCCTATTGAAGCTGACAAGTCCCAAGCTCTGGGACAAAAATAAAAAGTTAGCTGTTTGACAGATTCAAGGCTTTATGGCGTGATTAGGATGGCTCATTGGTGATGCACTGGAACACATTTTTCTACGGCAACCCTGCAACGTTAGGGGTGCCATATTTTGGGGCTCCACAAAGTCATAGAAGTCTGATTTTAGGTGGGAAAAAATCCTGTACAAAGCGTCAATAAAAAACTGCTAACATGCTAACATGCTAACAGTTCTTAGGCCTTTATGTTGAGAAACATACTGTATATTGTCAGCTACCATAAGATATAACATGTTGCCATGCAAATATCTGTATTTACTTTACTCACTCCTTAACCATATACTATCTTTGCAGCTTTTTCCAGTTGAACATCCTCAAATAGTTAGTTAAAGACAAACAAAGCTCAGGATCTATAAATCAGACAACTGGTATTCTAAAATGTGTAATAATTAAAAATAATTCCGACCCAAATTTTTCCAGAAACTAAATGTTTAGCCATATTAGGAACATGGATAGACTCTATCTAGATTACTTTATTCATCCCCAAAGGGAAATTTGGAAATATGTTTACACTCAAGAGCATGTTGTTGTAAAGAGATCAGGTAGATAAAGAGTAGAGTCTAACATACAGGATGGGTTTATTAGTCTGTGGTCTCAGCTCAGTATCTGCAGTAGCTCATTGCAGAAGCCTGAACACCCTGATCTCTGCACTGCAGTTAATCAAGGCTTTGTGTTTGACTCCCAATGCCTGTTGTAATAAGTGGCAGCCTGAATGCCTTACAATACCATCACCGCACACCCCACCACCAACGCCCATCACCTTAAGAGCTCTGGGGAGACGGGCAGCAGCCGCCCAATCCCGCTGAATTGTTCCAGCAGACCTTCATCAATGTGCAAGTCTCAATGAGATACTGGTTATTGCACACATATACACAAAAAAAAGAAGCACATGTAAATAAATGCCGGGCACGCACAAGATACTTGAAAAGGCCAACCATCACTGACATATTTCACAAGTCATTATATACATGGACACATGGCTCAGGCACTCTGATTGCTTGTCATGCAGAGGCTTTTTTTTCCACTTCCCCATCCCCCTCCTTCATGCCCCCTCCCATGAAAAATTGGCTTTAAAACCACACGTCACTTTTGATTTGACCTGGCAGACCCTGGAAGAATAACTTCATCAGAACCCGTTAGAGTCTCATCCCGGTCAGACGGATACAAAAACAAACGCTGATTTCCCTTCATCTCTTTTAGAGGGCACCTTTCTCCTTTATTTGCTCCGCCTTGCCTTCCGATGGAATAAAAAAAAACGTAAGGGGCCGCCACAGCCATCCTCGCGTAATTTCTCGGAGACTAGATGGCTTTGAACAAGTCACTAGACAGATGCTTGAATGCCGGGGAATGTGTGACGAGCTATTATTAACGCCCCACTCTCAATATATCATATCAATAAGGCGAATGTCAATACTGCTTACCTCTGATTGTGTCACTGGCTCCAAATGCAGAACTCACATCAATGCACTTGGCACCCGCCGAGTAAACAGAACAGATCACCTGCTGACTTCCAGCTCACATGCAGGGCAGTGTGGATTTTTTGGGGGGTGGAACATTGAGGTGTTTGGTAAATAGCATCCGGGAATAAAGAAGATTATGTGTCCCCAACTTCCTAACATTTAAAGAGTCAGAAAAAAAAAATGGAAGACCCTCTGGGCTGATTTCTGGATGTGTATGTACGTTAAGAAAGGGGTGAGTGTGAGGTTGACTCTGACTTCCTGATTCTCCCTGAGTGCCTGTGTTCCCACACTTTATGTCTCGAGTTAACCACATGTTGTTCAAGAAGATGGTTATTCTCCTGTGTTTTTCCTGGCTGGTGTTGGACAAACTGTCCATTCTCTCTAACTCCACTGATAGTGGTCATAACTCATAATTCCACATAGTTTGTGCAGAAAATGAGGTGTTTTAATACATTCACCCAATCAATTTCAAAACAAACATTATTTATTTAGTTGTACAACCCATTTGGCTGTACCAGGGAATTCGGAACACAAGTGCTCCTGTAGGAAAGAAAATCATAATCATAGTGATGAAGCACATTCTAAGCTTTTTTTAATTAAAAACAAATGGGACAGGCCCCAGTGTCCCTGTGCTGATAACTACAAGTGTGCCCTCATTAGCTTGCAAATTTGCAGAGAGAACAACTAAAAAATGTAAAAGTTACTCACAGAATTCATTGGCACAATTACATTCAAAGTAGCCGAGCACATTGGGTGCGCATATCTGCACTTTCAGTCGCCCACACCTGCTTTCAGTGGTTCATTTCAGGCATTTGTAGCCTTGTGGTCTCAAGTGGGTTGATATTTTACCTGAATACACACCATTAGCATCACGTTTTCTTTCCCAAACGGACACACTCAAACTTTCTCGCAGGGATTTAATAATCCATTGGAAATATTCCTGGCTTCTCCCATCTTTTTTACCAAAGTAATTACCTCACCCGGCATACTTTCAACCCACATCTTTCTAAAGTGTCACTTTAACCTGTGTGCTCACTCATATTCACATCACTCAAAATGGGGATCATAGTTTGCGACAATCTAAACGGTGTGCCGGGAAGCCCCTAAAAGCGGATGGGGCTTCGAATCTGAAAAAGTATATGTGAAATCTAACCTGACATCAGCTAAAATACAGGGAGAAAAAACTACATATGTCAGACCTCCCACACCCCACCCCCTTCACCAAGTGTCCTGGTAACACATTAGTATTGGGCCCTGGTTAAATGGTTGACCCCTGTCCCTGCCTTCATCTATCTATCCAGATGAATAGTAATGACCGGGGAGAGGAAGAGCCCCTGATGAATTAAACATTTCCCTCCAATGAGGATCTCACTTTCCGCTCTTTGGATGGCGGCGAGGTGACGTTTTTTTCTGCTGGCAGAGGTACTTTGTCATCGTGCAGCTCAGGTGCATTGGAGGTCAGCGGCAAAGACCCGGCACTCTTCTAATATATTCCATATCGGGGCAAATCAGATGCATCTTGCTGTGAACCATTAGTCTCGGGGTCAATCTGTAACCACCCCGGCAATCTATTTGACTGCCAGATTCAGGTCGGCTCTCTTGAAATTAGGCACGTGCCCAGATCCGTAATGGCAGCAAGTTCTAGCAAACCAGGGTCCAATCTCCCTAAAGTGTTACCCAGGAAATCCCGTGTGATTGAAACAGTCCCTCGATCCCCTCTGTTTCACACTGTGCTGTGAATTACTTTATGTATTGTGCTTGAGCTCATTTGTATTCTTTGCCCTTTCTCTCTTTTTCTCCCCGTTTATTTCACGCCCTCTCGTCTTTTTTTTCTCCAATTCTTCTCTCCTTCATCGCTCCGACTTCTTTTCCGCGGAGCAGGTCGCCAGCTGACTATCTTCAACAGCCAGGCGTTCATCAAAATCGGTGGTGGGGAGAAGGGACGCCACTTCCAGGGCCAGATCTCGGGCCTGTACTATAACGGCCTGCAAGTCCTCAAACTGGCCGCCGAGGGCGACTCCAATATCCAGACCCAGGGCAACCTGCGGCTGGTGGGCGACGTGCCCTCGGTGCTCACCACGGACACCACCTCCACCACCCCGCTGGCCGATATGTCCACCACCATAATGGAGACGACCACCACCATGGCCACGACCACCACCCGCAAACAGCGCTCGCCCACCATGAGGGACAGCGTCACGCAGGTGAGTGACCAACAACTGTGGCTTGAAAGGTTTTTGTGTGGAAACTATTTCAAAGCCCCTTTAAAAAAAAATCAAAATGCTGAAAAAACAATATCCGAAAGATTAAAGAGCACGGCGAAGGAAGCAGATGGCCTCTCTCGGATAAGTAGATGCATATTTCAAAAGAATCCGCGCATCGGCTGCGAGGTCAAACAGTCATTTCTCCGGCTCTGTGTTGTGTGTCAGTCTCCTCTTTTTTTTATTAAACCTCAGCAAACCTTCAGATGTTCAAATAACCCCTCGGCTGAGAGAGTGTAGTGTTGTGATTGGATGTTACCATTGCAGAGTTAAAGAAATGCTTTGTTGGCCCGGTCCAACAACACCAATCAACACCGCAATTTAATTTTCTCTACAGAAATGAGGCACACTAAGGATGATCAAAATTATAACGCATCCAACGCATATTAGTAAAGCTAGGAGCGAGGGGATGAGCATCGCAAACCCACCAACAAACTATGGTGAACTATAGTTCCGTATCTGCCTCGTGTGTGTATGCGAGAGGCTGAGATTAATGGCTTGATAATTATCCACATGTGCTGAAGTTGCAGCAAATGGTAAGCAACAATTTGCAAACAGCAGGGAAGGGCTGTTGCCAACGTTGCAACGAGGAGGCGAGCGATCCGGGGCCCCGCGTTCTCATGAGAAGACTTAATAATAGGATCCATTTGTTTTTCCAGGGGAAATGTGCTCGGCTTCACATCCACAATCATTAACTGCAAGCTGTGTGCTAAGCAAAAAGTAAGTGTGATCCATGCAATCTCTGGAGGCGCTACAAGCTTTCTTGCCATATTTATGCAAGACATACATTTTGTCAGATTTCTGCGACTGTAAAGACTTTTTAGCCAAAGTGCTTGAATTCTCTCGACTTTGAAAAACGAGTTAGTAATCGTTTAAAAGAATCCAATTGTTCAACTACCTGATCAAATATCACACGGTGCACATAAACCACAGCATGTCTCATTCATTTGTGTTCGTTAGTGTTAGTGTTTAGCCCACAAGACACTTATCTGAGATGAGACAGCAAGCCACTCACACTTTTAACCCTTTAAAGCCTGATCCAAGAATAAAAAAAAACAGAAAATTACTTTTTTTTGTTTGAATTCCTTATTTGGCCTTTTAACAAAATATACAAAAAGCAAAAACAAAAATTCACTTTTGATATTAATAATTTATTACTATGCGATAGGTCAAGATTATTTTTTGTGTAGTCTTCTGCCCCCTGTTATCAGGTGTATCTGATTGTGTACAATAGGATTTTGAGCAAAGTTTTTACGATTGAATTAAGCAAAAGGTGTCAGAGGCAAAACATTTCAGAAACCGTACGTATCAAATATGATGCATTTGGCATTATAGGGTTAACTGACACAGTTATTCAGACTTGAATCTGTTTCCTTTAATATCCTCTTAGACTTTTATTCTAAGATTCTCTTTTTTAAAAAGTGTAATGTAGTTGAGTACAACAAATACCCATCCAATATATTTAGAATATTCAGAAGTGCCAGTTTTACAGAAGCTCTGTTTGTTTTCTTGTTCCTCAGACATCAAAATGAATTTAATAGCTGCATTTACACTATCAGGACAGTGCAGACTGTTTTTTCGTAGCCTCGGCCTTCAAGCTATGAGACAGAATCCTGTTTGCCTCTCAGCTGTTTGCCCACTGGGTTTGGAGTATTGAAATATAACGAGATGTCGTGACAATTGCCCAACCTGCTCTGAATCCGTTTATTCACAAGACACATGCAGAACCAATGGAGAACAAAAAGTCAGAAATAAAGTCAGATGTGTCAATGGTTAAATGCAAAAAAAAGATAATTTTCCCATCACGTTCAACAGGAGGATGTGGTTGTCTGTTCAAACTCCATTCGCCAGTCAGAACTGTTTAGAAATTTTCACTCAAATGCACCATCTCTAAGTAATGCCCCCCTCTGTGATTTTTTAGTGGACAGCCCTCTCTTAGTCTCTTACTGTTATCAGGGTTGGTGCCTCTTAATTCATGTTACAGACTCGCTTTCTTTTCTGAACATGTATACAGTTGCATCTCAGTTAATTAGAATATCATCAGAAGGTCATTTTTTAAAATAAAGTCAAATCATATCAATTCACTACACACAGAGGGACTGATTTCAAGCATTTGATTTCCTTTCATTTGAATGATTGTGCTTAACAGCTAATGAAAATCAGAAATTAACTAAATAACTGAAAGCAGCTGCAAAGGTTTCTTGATCTTTTAAATAGTTTCTCGGTTTGGTTCAGTTGGTCACAATCGTGTGCGGGACTGCTGACTCGGCAGCTGTCCAGAAGACAGTCACTGACACTCTGCCCAAGTAGGGTAAGCAGCAAAAGGTCAATTCTAGGGTGGCTGTTAAAAGAGTGCCGTGTACAAGAATATCAATGGAAAGTTGAGTGGAACGACAAAAGCTGTAATCAGCACATCAACTTTTCCCACATGATGACTGGAGTGACCAATTTGTCACCCTTTCCAAAAAGTTAAAATGTCATGGAAAAGTTGTTTCTTTCATAGATTATAGGTTCAGGGCCCACAACGTAAACGATTTCAAATATCATATTTCATATTTATTATTACATCATTTTGGCTTTCATCTAATAAAACCAACAAAAACAGGAATTTAAAAAATCAAGAGTACCATAATTAAATCACCATTTACTTCTCAGTTTTTGCAAAAATCAAATCAAACCAATCAAAATATGGAATTTTCAAAACGATGTCAGTCTTTAATAGCCGGTTGGGGATCCCTTTGCCTTAATCACTGCTTTCATGTGACGTGGGATTGCTTGGGAGTTACGGAAGCCCAGATTTCCTCAATGCTTGCTGTCAGCTCTTCTTTGTTGCTGGCCCTTCAGAAAGCTTAAAGCTTACCAACACCTTCATCGGACATTGAACCCGAAATCTTGACTGGCTATGGATATTTCACACTAGACATCAGAAAAAATGTGCTCTGTTACTCAACCGTTTTCCTCCAAACCATTTGGACCTCGATTCCCCAATGAAAGGCACACTTTACTCTCATCATAGAAGAGGACTTTAACCATTGGTTCAACAGTCCAGTTCTTGTCCTTGGCCCAGTTGAGACTCTTTCTAAGTTGCCTCAGGTTCTGAAGTCGTTCGACCCGGAGAACGCAACAGTTGTAGCCTATCTCTCTTTCTGGATCTCTGCCAGATTCTTGAATCTTCTCTGTTTGATAACGTGGTTTATCTCTTTTGCTAGTTTATCTTCTCCTGCCATCTTGCCCTTTCACTAGACTTTGCATCAGAAAATCTGATGACGAAAAAGACTAATCTTACTTAAAAGACCAATTAATTAAATCTTCTTTTCAAAGTCTCAAAGTAAGTGTTAAATATTCATGAACATTATATATTATTGATCAAAAGTAATCTTACTAATTATTTTAACTGTAGTTAAGGTTGTCCAGCATAGGATTGGGGATTAATTCATGTTTTTGTTATCTATTTCAAATCAAGTAAAAAGAAAATATTGTTTAGTTGAATAAAATAATAATCGTGAGATTAATCAAATAATAATGAAAGAAACATCAAAAAGTCGTTAGTTGCGCCATTTTCATCATTACTCAAAGGAAAATGCATGGCTGACTATAGTTATTAAAACATATCAGGAACCCATAGAATTAGAAATTGGCACAACAGAAGTTAAAGATTTAAAAAATGTAGACTTAAAAAAAAAGTAGGTTATCCAAGCTCTTTGTGTGGTTTTTGTTGTCATGTTGCTGGTCAGAAGGGTCAAAGCTTCACTATTATTTGGGCTAAAGTTAGTTTTTTTGTATAAATCAGCTTCGATTTCACGTGTCTGAGATCTGGATAAGCTAAAGATATGAAATTCGGCAACATCATCAGTTCAGTAGCTTTCTCCAAATCTATTGCCAGAAATGTGCGCTAACACTCAGCAAACAAGGAAGCTCTTATGTCACAGCTGTCTGATATACAACTGGTAGTCTCAGCTTTGAAAGTTAGATCAATTATTTGTTTTAGGATAACAAAACAGCAGCGTCTGCTTTTCCATTGTTATGGTCCAAACTTATATGTGCACTGAAACAGCTGACTGACAGTTATGATTGGTCATTAAAGAAAGGCACAATTCCACCCTTAGATGGCTCGTCATTGCTAGGAATCTGTTTTTACACAGTGTACGCACTTTATAACTCTATTTAACCGAGTAGAACGCGGTTAATGGTATAAAACAATAGCTTAAAACAGCATTAGGAGCATTTAATTAACCATGGGGCATTTTTCATGTATCTCAAAACAGACAATATCTTTCTGTGCACTTAAAAGTGTAAAAACACTGTTGGTTTATTGAGTTTGCTACCACAATCTTGTCCATTTATTGGCACTGTGCTTGTATGACTGAATATGTTTTGTTTTTCTACATTTTATTTTTAAAGCTCATCTTCTATATCCTAATAAAAACTAAAGGTGAAGGCATAAATGTCACTGTGAATAAGGGAAAAAAACACATTTTTAGGAGAATAACACCAAAAAAAATCACAGATGGTTAAAGGATTAAACAGATTTTTGAAAAGGTGAAACAAGGTTTGAAAACAATCTGATCCAACCCAAAAAACTCCATTCATCAATTTTTTCTTTTGTATGCAACTTTGGTTAATGGAAAAATAAGCGTCTTTCTTTTCAGATTTTATTGCAAAGATGGGACAATGGCTTAAGAGGAGAGGAAAAATGAAACCTGTGTAGGGTGACTTGAAGCTCTGTTCAAAAAAGTCTTTGAAGAGGAGAATTCAAATTTCAACCTCAGCTTTCACTGATATCATAAAACTACAGACGACAGGTTTATATCTATACACTGCATCAGCTTGATTAGTCATCCAGACGCTGTCTACTCAATTACTTTTTCTGCCCAAGAAGATAAGATCAAGTATATGCTCTAAATACGACAGTGGGCTAAGCTTACAGAGACCACGGAGCCCTAATGAATATCCCAGCATCCGGCAATTCTCAATGAAGACACGGTGGCGGAAAAAGCAGCGAGCGGAAACCCAAATTTCAATTTCTCCAAAAGCTCTGAGCTACCCGGTGCGCCGCGGCTTTGATCATAGTGGAATAATGTGCTTTGATGCTTAGAATAAAAGATCCACCTTTTGATGTGCGGTGCGCGCGTATGTATCTTTTCTTTTCTTTTTTTTTTTCCTTTTCGCCCTCTTGATTGTGTTTCCGTGAAACAGTCGGACTCATCACTTGCCTGACCCAAATTTGGCGTCGGGGGGGTTAGAAAACTAAGATCACAGGCGACGCCCCGGACGGATACCGTCATTTTCAGTATTTCTCTGGAGGAAAGCAACGTGATTTGAAGTTCACTTTCCAAAATACTTGAAGACCGATTGGGTTTTTTTTTTAAAAAACACATTTTGAAAGTTCTGACCAGGTCACGCATTTTCAGAAAATACCTGCACGCTGGGTCTGTGGGCCCCTTGGCGATGTCTCATCTCATCAATCCCAGTGTCCCAATTGCAGGTGCCTCTGGATGTTTCGTTGGAGTAAGGTCGTGAAATGGGGTTTGGAGGCATGACACAGATGTGGATTTCAATTTCAACCAATCACAACAGCAGGAGACTGAAACAACTCTTTGACATTTAGACAGGATTTTTGCTCAAATGTTCTCTTTTTTTGTTTTTTTGTGGATATAAAGACAGCAGGAATTGACATCCAGGTTGCTTGATTTACAGAAATGAGTCATTATGTGCTGATTATATGGAGAAAACGAGAGTGAGACAGCTCCGTGCATGGATGGAATAAAAATGCAAGCATTTGTTGGATAGAGACATTGCCGGGAATCCGACGTAGGATCATTAGGCCCATTTGACATAGGCAGGTGATGTGAACACACACTCAAACCGACACACTGTGATTAATAAATGATAGCAGCCATGCTGGTGGCTTAATAACAGAAAGAAGAAAAAAAAAAACTCAGCCGGACAGTGTGGCACGAGAATCAATTATGCCGATAAAAGCCCTCACTTTTCTATCGGATGACCCCATCTTGAACGATAACCAGACGCGGCGACGGGTAAGGGGAGGACGTTTGGATGTCCAGACACACAGCTATGTGAGTCATGCTGCAGCCAGGACCGACCCCAGACACTAAATTGGAATCACCTTGTCAAATTTAATCTGTTTTCATTTCGAGATCCCTGCTGCTGTACTTCCAAACCTCCACTCCACACTTCAAACTCCTATCTCCCTTAACAGACAGTATTTTGAAAAAAAAACATTAAGAAGCCCACTAATTGTAAGCTCAGCTGTTACATGTGAAAATGTGCTTAGAAAGAATTTTGGGCCCGTATTGCTTCTGATGTACTCGGTATGTGCTACTAACCGCTCTTCCAAATGGATGGACACTACTTAAAATGTAGATAAGATCGTAATGTAAGAAATGCAAGAAATGTACTCCAAGTATAAAGATTAAAGCACTGTATGTGTGTGTGTGTATGCATGTGTGTGTGTGTGCATGAGAGAGAGTGAAAATGGCCTGACTCTTAATGGTCCTGGTTAAAAAAAAAAAAGTTCTAGAAGCTCAACGTATTATTTTAGCGTTAAATACCAATCTTTCGGTGTCCAGCTGCTTGGCCCACACATACTTATTGTTTGAAAAATCTATTGTCTAGAAACAGCTTGTTTCACTTTGGATTCCCTCGCATTGCCCGCCTCTGCCTTTTAAAAAAAATATAACTAACTACTGGCGCACCACACCCACCTGAGCCTTTTCAACACATTTGTCACCGCCAACAAACCGACAAAAGTTACAAGTTTCTTGTGAAATTCAACCTCCCTGAGAATTTTCATCTTTTTTTTTTTTTTTAGATCTTCTGTGTGTCCTCTGCTAAGGCAAAATTCATCCTCACTCCTTCTCCTCTTTTGTCTCTCCAGAATGCTGATGATCTGTTGGTAGCTTCAGCAGAGTGTCCCAGTGACGACGAAGATTTGGAGGAGTGTGAGCCCGGAAATGGTGAGTCGACTCAGGAAAGTTCTGTTTCCATTGTGTTGTATTCGGGGAACAGAGACAACCTGCATAGGTTAGATGCCTTTTCTCCACTTCTGAACGTGACTGTTTGCAGCTCTGATTGGCCGTTTTTTGCTCTGCCGAGTGCCAATATCTGGCATTTTTTCTAAGTTGCTGCACCTATCTCCCTCACTGACTTTATATTCTGACACCCCCAACAGGAGGGGCAACTTAAAGGTCCCCTGCTTGGATTTAAGCTCTTTCAAGATGTCTTTACCTGAAAACTGCCAAGAACCATTTCCTTACAGATAAGCAGTACGATTCAAACTGTTCTTAAAGCAACGGTCATTTCATGTTATTATCATTTTACAGGTTTATCTTGTGTAGGATAGGTTGAAACTGAGATCAAAATGTTAGTTATGTTCTAACACAGTATTAGTACTACATACATTCAGAGACGGTAACATTTTTGGTGTTTTGGTTGACAGATTGCTGTCCTGTTGGAAACAAACATCAACATTCAATTCTGGTTTCATAAGAAAGGAGAGTTTCAGAAGGACGTAAAAGGCTCGATGAGAAAAAATGTAAACAAAGGTTAAATAGAGAAGGGAGAGGACAGGAGGTAAACCGTTTTGTTTTTTTTTCTCTGAACGGCGCTTTCCTGGAATAAGTAGGGAACAGAGATTAGGCTTGTGTTGGATTGTAAACAGCAGGAGATTACAGCGTGTATCAATACGTTTGTGCGAGGAGAAACGGATCTGAAACTGTGTTCAAAGATTGGAGCACTCTCCTGTGGTTTGCTCTGTAGGTGGCTGGGACCAAAATAGAACCTTGGTTCCCCTCTTATCGAAAGGAGGAATGAGAGTATTTTCAGTAGATGCTATGCCCAGGCTTAATCTCCCATGGGGAAAAAAAAGGCATTTCTCTCTTTGCGTACACGCACAAACACACACACAGTGGCAGACGCGCTCACCTCTTCCAGACAGACTCTTGCCTATCTGGCTCGGTGGGTGTAAAGTTTTTTCTCCCTGCAACCGACTCTCCTGAGAAACAACAAACACGCTTGAGCACGCACACTTTCCCCCATATCACACCTTCCAGAAGCAGCAACGGTTTTTCAACCACTGTGCCTCGGTACACTAGTGTGCCACGCGTGATGGTCAGGTGTGCCGTAGAAAATCATCCTGTTTCACCTAATTGGTCTAAAAAGATTTTTTGATAAGGAATTAATTATATGCAAATAATATGCCATTTTTGAGTGTCTGTCACTGGTGGCGTAATTCCTTATGACTAGATTTTGTATATAATTTGTATATATTGAAGTGGACATGTTAAGTGCAATATGAAAGAAGAAATATAAAATATGGTAAAAATAATTTTTTGTGTTTATTTGATTCCTATTCAAGACACTTAAGATAAGATCAGAATAAAATAAGAATAACTATAGTGTTACTATAGGCCGCTACAGATTTGTTTAACATTTTTGGTTGGTAGTGTGCCTCGTAATTGTTTATATGAAAAAATGTACCTTGGCTCAAAAAAGGTTGAAAAACACTGGGATAAGCACCTCTGAAAGCTGTGGACACGGAGAAAAAGAATCAACATTGTCTACGACACATGTCTCCCCCTCCGCCTTCCATCGTTTCTCCACCAAACATGGGCCCGAGGTCCCCGTCTGATAGGACCATTTCCTAGCATCATCAATTCTAAATGGCTTGCCGTTATTGAATTGCTTTCAGGAAGGACAACATTTTTTAAACACGGTTGCGGATTTTCTATTAAACTGTGCCTTTTATGAGAGCTGTGAATTCACGTGGATCAATACAACCTCTTCCTGTAAGCAAATCTGCTTCACAGATCCGTATACCTGCAGATGAGATGCCAGGGAACACTACTCAAGAGATGAAACTTGCTTTCTTAAGACTTAGGATGCCAGAGAATGACCGACCCCCTTGATGGGCAGTGACCGCTTGCCTTTGTGGGCTGGAGCAAGTCTCAGAGAGACCCAGAGAAGGAATCAAAGAAAGAGCCAAAGGGAATGACCATCATTTAGATGTGTGTCACGTTCCTTTGCACTTAGAAAAAATGGGGAGAGAGGTGCAACAGAGATACAGAGGGAGGAAGAATAAGAGATCGGGTAAAGGGAAATTCATGTGGGCAAATCCCGACTTCCCCACTCAGCCAATTAAACTCTGGATGCTGGGGAACCTTAATTACATCACCCAATTAGAGCTTTGGTTTGAATCCCCCAGTGTTAATAATGAGCTTCAGTTAGATGGGTGACAAGACCGAGGAATGGGAAGGACCCCTATTAGAAGCCTGAACACACTGCGGAGAGGTACAGAGGGATGACACTTGAAAATATACTTTCATTTAATACAAACATACGAAAGTCATCTATGGACACTAACTATATTCACAGCAGCACGCAATTAGGGAGCACATTTTCCTCCAAAAAACAGGCTCAGCTCAATTAATCCTTCATGTTACTGCACAATTTCACTGTCTGCCTTTTCTCTACCCCAGTAGGACCTCACTTTGTTTTTCTCTACTTATCAGTCCTTGGATGTTGTAGGCGCTATATCAGTTTTACACTGACAAGATCAGAGCTTTGAGGGAGTGTTCGATAATTTATCAGGTGACATAACGTGGAGACGGCCTGCACAAGGCAATGAGTTCTCTGGGTCATCCCTCATACATCACCCTATCTCTGACTTTGACTCCCACAGGGGAGTCAAAGTCAGAGATAGGGTGATGTATGAGGGATGACCCAGAGAACTCATTGTCAATGAGTCTTGGACGTCAATTATTTGTCTGTTAAATACCTTCATTGATCCCCCTTAACAAGTAAATAGCTCCGGGTTTATCACATATGCTGAACAGTCTGGATCTGCAGCAATTTCCAGGATCTGATCTTTCAACAGCAGGGGATCTATTTGAATTAACTGGGATGTTTAAACCAAGAATTTAACTTCGAATGATAACAAATTTAATACAAAAATGCACTACACAAATCAAAATGTGATATTTCATATGTTTAAGACTCATCTGAAGATTTTTTCTCAGGTTTGACACATTTTTTTGTCAAAAATGACTCAAGAAATGCAGGCTACTCAGAGTGCCCTGTCAATTTATTAAGATTAAAGTATGTCCACTGTATTCCATTCAGATGGTTATAACTTGGCAAATATCACAGTGGATGGATGGGGTTTATTATTTAATTTTCTATAAATAAGACAGAGTAATGAATGAGCTGGTTAAGATTAAACTTAAAATAAGCTTAGTAAAGTCAACTTTTTAAAAAATGCTGAAAAATTAGCCACGTAAATGTATGGAGACCATGTTCTTATATGCTGTATTTATCTTTCCTTATACTCACAATAGTTTTATTTTTATTTGTACTTCCATTTAATTGATTTCTTTTGTTTTACCAGAGCCTGGCAATATTTGCAAAATTATCAGAAGTCATATGTACAAATACATATATTTGTGAGAAAAAAAAACATTTCTGTGAAATACATAGAGCTGTTTCACATACGTTTGATTTATTACTTTATCAAATTTTCCTTAAATCTTAAGTTACAACACAGTCCTTTAAAACCATGGACATGTGGTTTAAGGCTTTAGGCTTTTGACAGGTGAAAGGGTAAACTAGTACGTTACCTATAGATCAGGTTCTGGCGCCATATAGCTGCAGAGATGTTAATGCATATACTGAATGCTCATTTCAGAGACTGAAGAATGAATTCCGCAGCCTTTTGGCCATTTAATTTCATTACGAGCTACTTTTGGACTTTTCTCATTTTCAAAGAACAAAGTCTTCTGTGAACTACCCAAATTATAATTAAAATCTAATGTTAACCCACAGCGGTGGATGCAGAATGGATCATTTTCTTGGGCAACTGCTTTCTCAGCAGGGACCCTTTAAACACGCACTTCAAACTCTGAAAGAATATATTGTCTTGTCTGCCCTGACAGTGCAAGAGAACGACGATTTACTGATTGTCCAAACCTCTTAATGTGTTTTATTTCTAATTTAGAATTAGTAATGCATTCCCATAATTTTTCATAAGAGCTTAGTAGCCTTTCCTTAAAAACCTTTTAATATAACAAAGATATTTTACAGGAAAAAAAGGGAGAACTGAGATGGTGAAGCCATCCTGTATTAATTTGCAGCTCCATCCTAGCAAAAGAAAAAAATATTCAAACAAGTTAAAGACTGTGAAGCGGACCGGAAAAGTGCCCGACTAAAAAGGGAAGAAAAAAACAGAATAGTGTATAAGTGGTACAGAGTAACATCTCTAAATCAGGTGGAGATTCTCGGAGCATGTCGGACATTTACACCACAGAGAGACTGAAAGAAAAAGGCTGGCCAGAAAACAAATCCGCCAGGTTTATGGAGACAATCCAGATTCTAAAGTGCTGTGGGGAGGTGACTTTAACCGCGGCAAATGGTGAGCTCCCACTGACACACTATATATAAGCGGGGCATAGTCTCGTTTTTTTTGTCAAAATAAATCCCTCTGCCTGAGAGCAACAGCAACAAATGCGGCATTTGTAAACAGTTTATGGAGCCTCATGTATGAAAAAGCAGGTTTGTTCCCCATTGCACAGATTATACGGCCATAATTGCACCTATTGTAGTTGGATTCAAAAGCAAGCGAGGGAAAATATATTATGCTCGGACACGCTGCTGGATTTTCCATCTGCAGCCCTAATCAAAGCTGAATTACAGAAGGCTCAACCTCCGAACAACCTTTTTGCTCTAAATATTTCAAATGGATGCGAGCGGGCAGACGTGATCGGCAGCCTAACGATGTTTGTCAGGAGAGTGACATTGATGCATCAGTATCCATCTGCCCTCTTCTCATTTTGAGTAAATAGAGGGGCGAAGGGGTTTTGAGTCATACTCGGTGTGTGGTGAGGCTGCACGAGGATAAAAAGAAAATTCATGGTATCGGACTGAACGTGGTTCTGTGGTCTAAGTTGCACAATGCTTTACAGATGGAGACAGCTGCACACTGGAAATACAAAATATGTTTCAGCAGCATTGTTTGCATTGGAACTGGTACCAGTAGTGCCTGTCTTACTAAAGTCATGTTAACGTCACCTTTCACGTTTCCATGAAACTCTCCATTTACTCTGGTTTACATCAGCCTTTGGTTCTTGGCAGCTTTCAGTTGACAACAGCAAGTTATTCTTTTCTCCTGAGCTCAACTTTCTGAGCGGTGAATGTCGAATGAAGAATCAGAGCTGCATTCAGGGACAATAAGGTGCGGTGGTGAGAAAAAGGAGAACCAGTGACAGTCGTTGATTGAGTTAAACAACAGGTGCAGAGGGCTTAGGCCACACAATGGGAAAATGAAAAGATACTTGACTTGATAACTGCCTAGAGTGCTGGGATATAAATCCCCCCCTTGTGAAAAAATCATTACTTTTCTAGTAGCCACTGCCTGGGTGATGCCACAAGGCCCTCAGGCTTTGGCTCCACTACATACTTAAGAGTACAGCAGAGCCGTGAGGGTGTGAAGAACGTGTCGGGACAGTTCTTAAATTGTCCAAATAATTATTTGTCTTTGCCGTTCTGTCGGCTTACATAAACCACGGCGAAAGGCAGAGGAACAGAGCATTCCTGATTCTGAGAGGATTATAGTGTGTGTTTACTCTCACAAGGACATCCACTTTCAGTGTACGCAGCACACGCTGTAAGTAGGGCACATCATAAGTGGAGGCAACTCCTCGGTAATGGGCTTGAAAAGCTTGAAATTGCTCTTACAGCATATTTGTCACAGGTGGCAGAACTAGTATGCTATCACACATGTGTCCAGTTCCCCCAAGTCCTTACTTCTTTCCTACCTCTGGGAAATGTTGACGAAATCGAACGTTTTGCTCTCGAAACACAGTCAGGAAGTCCAACGAGGCGTGGCCCCTCTCTTTTCCTAAAACGTGTCACCAACACGCTCTGCTGTCCTCTAGTCGTCGAGGTGAAATTCCTTGCCTCAGACGCAGATACTATAGGGGGGAGAGAGATGACGTGGGCATCGCCATGGAAACTAGCTTTTCCAGCAATGCCACTGAAAGAAGTTAGAAGGGTAGCTTCTGAGGTGAAATTGTTTTCCTTTTACAGCAGTCATATTTTGCTTTTATGTTCTGAAATTTCTCTGAAAATTTGTTATTTGTTCATTTGTTGTCATAACCTTGTTAACTCGATTGCCTCACCTCCTAACGCAGCCTTTGCTATGCTGACTGTAAAAATGTGTAGTTGTGTAGACTGACAGATGGTTTGTTGGGGTTCTGTTATCTAAATCCTTGTTTTAAACACTGCTGAGCTAGCTAAAAGACATAGAAAAATTATTCAAATCCTAAGACCTCCCCTTTACAACCCACCCATCATACTTGAAAAGCCTATTCCATCCCCTGCTCCAGCTCAGTCACTCTGATTTACCTCATCAATCAAAGAGCCAAAGTCATGATTTTATGCTGTTGATGTTGGTATTTCTTTGGTCATGTTCTGCTGTTACCTTCCCTCTTCTCTCCCAAAGCTGTGACATGATCTAATCTACTATGCCATGTTATTTCAGCTGTGTCGATGAATGTTACCCTTTGCAAATTTGCCTAACTGACCAGAAAACCGAAATGCATTGATTTTTCTTCTTTGTACTCCCACTCCACATTCCCCCTAGTAAGTGTAAAGGTTCAGTTTGTTGACTGATGGATTCCTCTTGAACGCATGTAGCTTTGTCCACTTCATGTAACACCCAGTGATTTGTCTTTGGGTGATCGTATTCAAGGTGGGCTTAACGTCAAAGTCCCATTAACTGTTATTTATGAGAAATCTTGGCTCATTCTCGCTATTGCCCAAGCGTAAGCAGCTGTTTGAGAGGAGCTTCGCTGCCCCATGTTTATATATTTGGGTGGGATGTGGACTTCAGGGATCCATGGGGAATCAGGCAATAGATGGGTTTATTACTCTGTCTTTCAGACGACTAGACTGGGTGTTTAGGGACACCAGTTTTTTCTTCAGCTGCTTCTAATAAGAATTGAGCCATGAAACCACCATGCCCAAAGGGGGTAAAATAGGATTTAGACAATTCTTCCTAAGATCATTTTGGAATGGGAAAGAAACGTGGGTGGCACTGAATAATAGACTAGATATAGTTGTGCATTATGATTCTTTTTTTCTAATCCAAGAAAGATATTAGAGGAGGTGAAGAAGGGTATGGGGGAGTTGTTTCACTATCCGAGAACAATCTTACACAGCTTTCTTTTGTAATTTTTTTTTTCATGCAAAAATCATGCGGCCAATTTGTTGATGTAAGTGACCTGAACCTCGTGGTTTGCTATCTTATTTAACCACTCACAGCAGAAACATCTGAGAGATAGGGTAGGCAAGGCAAGAAAATTAGAAGTTAAGAATAGACTTTGTAGAAAAACAGATGTTTTAATTGTACAGTGTTATTTGTAGTCTATATTTATTATGTGTTAGTGATATAACATGTAGGTGTGTACAGTATAGGGAGATCAGGTCAGAACAGTCAGAAGCAGGTGTAAGACAGAATGTTTTCTTACATCTAGTAGTACTTACTGAAGCTCATATTAAGATCTTAAATAAAACAGACTAAACATATAACTAACCTGATGTTAAGCTGTAGTGCTGTTCAAATACTGGTGTTGCTGTATATATCTGAACTGTTCTTTTGTACATCTGGAGGAGGTCGCTGTCCCAGATTGCTTTTAACACTCGTTTCCTTCGTTTTCTCTTTCTTGTCCTAGGAGGTGAATTAGTGTTGCCCATAATAACAGTGGACTCCCTAGACCCCCCATCTATTGCCACCCGCTACCCAGTAATTCCCCCATCCCCCACCACCTACCGCCCTTTCCTCACCCTGCTCGAAACCACCAAAGAGTCCCTACCCTTGCCCAATGGCCGTGCCCCCTGCCCCTTGGATCAAGAGGACTGTGAAGAGAACATTGGGGGATCGGCGTATGGTTCAGGGGAGATGACCGAAACAGATGACGAGGACTATTATAAAAACTCCCCACTGGTCACCGATAGAACAGTCCTCCCTCCCCCGCCTGCCGTCGAGGGTGGTGTCCAAAACCCTAGAGACCGCCATTTCTCCCGACACCCCATCTCCCATCGGCCCCCTCTAGCTTCCACCCCAACCACCAATCCAGATCAGCTCAATCCTCGCGTCAAATCAGTTGGCGGCAGTAGTAGTGGTAGTAGTAGTAGTAGTAGTAGTAGTAGTAGCAACAACATCCCTGCTGGAAAAATGAACACCCGCGACCAGGTGCTGCTGCCGCCAGCCCACCCCTCGTCCGACCCGGGCCACCGCCGGATCCCGGGATTAACCTACCCACCAAATTTTCCCCATGTTCCCACTCCAGACCCAACCTCCCCAGAAAGAGGCCTCCCAGGCGCCGTGGAGGTGCAGCAGTCCAGCAGCACCACGGGTATGGTGGTGGGTATCGTGGCGGCCGCCGCCCTCTGCATCCTCATCCTGCTCTACGCCATGTACAAGTACCGCAACCGCGACGAGGGCTCCTACCAGGTGGACCAAAGTCGCAACTACATCAGCAACTCGGCGACGCAGAGCAACGGAGCCCTGGTGAAGGAAAAGCAACCCACCACTGCCAAGACGGTCACCAAGAACAAGAAGAACAAAGACAAGGAGTACTACGTTTGAGGGGACGGAGCTACCACAGTCAGAGACAGACAGCACATGCACTTAGAAAAGGAAAGAGACCAGGGAGCTCAAAGGAGAGAGAGGCAACGTGCGGAGAGCAGCAAACAAAGTGGCAAATTACTTTCAAACTCAGTGTTGTCAAGTGATCATATGTTACCGTTAGTACTTCAATCCAAGGGAGGCAGCACAAACAGAGGGCAGAGTGGCATTGGGGTTCTGTTTCCACTAATATGTATTGTATTTATTGATCTGACTCGATTAAGATTCAATATTAACTAGGTTGATTGTACGGAAAGGTTACAACACATAGAATAAGAATGCAAACTGTGCCAACAACAACGTAGCAAATGCTGATAAGACAGTGATTTAGGGTTATGTAATATCTTGAGTACTGTAGGAAGGATCGCCAACAGTATTTCTGCTAAAGTCTCCACTCTGAGGCCAGTCTGTAGTGAATATGATCACCTTGAACGTAGCATTAATTTTGACCAAATTGGCTCAACTTAGCAACTAACAATTAACAAAAAAAATTAAAGACAATACTGCCAACTTGGAAAAATGCTGCATCAAATCTAACCCTCCCACATCTGAAAGCGTTTTAACATCTCTCTCCTCGACACGTTGGTCAGAGGGCTCCATTTTCTCTCCTTCTCTACAGTGCCTAGAAGCTGATGCGACGAAAACTCTGCCGTGTTTCAAGCATGTAGTATTCATTTATGAAAAAGAGATTAAACAGTTTTTCTTTCTGTGGAGTCAAAAAAAAAAAAAACTTTGAAAAAAAACACAACGGTTGACGATCTTAACAACGTTAAAACGTAGCAACTGTGTGAAGATACCACCGCTCCGACCGAATGGATTGCTGACTCGTACGTTTAGCCGCCAAAAACCTGTCGAGGCCAAACCCCCCCCCCCCCTCGGTCGATCTTTGTTCCAGCAGATGTGTGTAATGTGTTTGTGGGGGGCACCGAGGATCCCCTCAGTGGGCCAGGAGAGAAACTGTCACACCCTTACTTATCACAGTTTAAAAAAAAACTCCGGCAAACCAGACGAACTCTGTTCTATATAATTATAAATATATGTATAGACGTTGCAGAAACCTATGGACCTAAATCGTGCGCAAGTCTATGAGTAAATTGGAGAATGCACAGCGAAGGTGGGCTTTAGGATTTTTGACGTCGGAAACGCCCAGTCCCCTTACCCCTCTCATGAACAGTACAGCTGAAGAAATGCTCTGCTGCGGGACTCAGTCACTTCAATTTGCTTTTTTTTTGCTTCCTTTTTTTATTTGATTATTTTTTTCTCTGAAGAAGTGAGAGACACTCAAAGGGTCGCTCTGAATTTATTCCTTCTGGAGTTACACTGTGGAGAGTAAAAATCTATCTTGCAGCCGAGAAAAAGCAACTTGTGTCTTTCACCCCCTCTCTTGCCTGACTGAACTCACCGCAGCCAATGGGCAAAGCAAACTTTGTGGGAAAAGCACACAAACAAAAAGGTGAAATGCGGTTCCCTGGAAGATGTACAACTGAACTCTAGTATTCCAATTTTCGCAACTCTATTAAAAAAGGAAACTGAACCATGAAAAGAAAATTCCAGAAAAAAGTTTGTGAAATGTCTAAATATTTGACTTTCATCCCATTACTAAGAGAAATGTGTTTGCCCTTCTATCATTCCCATTTGGAGAAAAAAAAATATGATTCTGGGAAACTGAAATTTCTGTGTATTTTCTTTTAGTGATTGAGCAAATGTGATTTGGGTTACAAACAAAAGCTATAGATTCTCCTCTTCTGGAGAAGATAAGTTCCCCTTATTCCATCCGTCATCCAAAAGTCTATCTTTTATTTTCTCGTCATCCTGCATCTCCTTCCTTGTATGGCAGATTGTATGTTTCATATCCTGTGGAGAAAGCAAGCTGTGTCCGACCTGCAGTTTCTGTTTGTTTTATATCTATCACTGTATGTAAAGTGAGAGACACGATGGCAACCACTCATTTGACAGGCTCCATCGATTTACTCTCCTGCCATGTTTTTAATTTTCATTCTTCTCTCTGTCCATTCCAAGCATACTCCTCCCAGTATCTTCCTGTTCTTTCTAAATGTTATTGTAAAGTGTTCCTGTGAGATGACTCTAAATATGTGTACATTAACAGAGGGAATACACTTGGTTATATACTTCTTACTTCCTGGGTCACGTGGTTTGTTTATCGTTTCTTTTTGCTCCTGCCATTGTATATTTATACAGAGGTTTTCAACAAGTATGGACTAGACAACTCAATATCTACTTTGGCATGTAGAACTTATCCATTTCTGAACACAACCAATTGGCTAGAACTCTACTTAAATTAAACTTTACTCAAACTTAAGTCAAACCAAAGTTATGCCTTTCGCCCAAAAAAAATCTTAACATTGTGTTTGTGAAGTGCTTATCATACTTTGACTTTATCCTAAACGGAATTTATGCCAAATAATTTTCCCACTGGTTCTGGCTATTTTAAGGATATTTCTTACCATAGTGTGAGAAACGATGATTGGATTGAAATAAAACTCTAACATTTAGAGATTATTGTCAGAAAAATCGCCAAAAAGAACATTTTCCCAAGATTTTTTATCTTAAGATAAGTGAATAAATTAAAGTCCCTTTTGGCTTTGTCTCTAAAATTTGTATATCCAGCAAGGGAGTTTTGTGACCAGTAACCGGAAAACCTTCTTTGATGTATTTAGGAGTCTCTTCGATGCCTTCTTTTCCTCTTCAATAAAAACAGGTTTGTGAGAATAATTTATCAAGTGGTCCTATCGACAAAAATTCAAATCTCTGCCAACATTTCTCAGTCCTCCTCCTGGGTTGCCTCTTTTATTAACGCCTGGTTCATGAGGATTGATGGTCTGTGTCACAGTCTCTCCAGTTTTAATGATCTTTCTTACTTAGTGGCGTTATTGGCCAAGTCTTTTACAACATGAAATTGATGGTATACCAAGTTTATGTTAACCCAGTGATTTCCACCTTTTTATGAACATTATGTGTAACGTCCCATGACCATTGGAAGATCAACACCTGTGCAATTTTTTAGTTGTAATCCACCAAATTAGAAAACAAAGGACAAAGGAGTTTCTTTATATTGTCAGAAACTGCCATATACACAATATTATCACTGACATTGTCTCACACAATGGATTTATCATCCACCCCCTTTTTTCAGATGTATTATTCCCCACTTAGAACATTCAAACTGACATTAATTCACCGACAGAGATCCTCTCTTTTGTTAAAATAAGCGTTCCTCCCCAGCAAGACACAGAAGGGAAAACCTGATGTTAAAAAATAACATTAATTTTCACTTGGATAAGCACTGTTGGATATCAAGAACTGAAACTGACCACAAATACACAACTAATCGTAAGGGATAGAATCCCATCTAGAACCAGAATGTGCTAAATAATCTAAAGGAATTTTGTAATAATAGTGTATAGTGGATGAACCCAGGGTTGCAAAAAAAAATAAAAGATAATTTCCTCACTTGGAACTCATCCACACCAAGTAAAGCAGAAAAAGGCAGAACTTTTTCCCACAGAAAATGTAACCAATCACTCAGCCGAAAACAAGAATGAGTAAATGGAAAAAAGGCGATTACGCTTCAAAATGAGCAGTGCTCTCTCCTCTGAATCACTCGGAGAAACTCTGCTTACAAGAAAGACTCAAAAGCAAATAGAGTTCCTTTTAAGACAAACTGCTTAAGTGTGAAATCCCCGGAACACACTACAAGCTTTGTATGTCAGTCCCTTTACAGCAGTTGACAAAGTTAACATCAGTTTTAATTTAGTATCTTAAATGTTGTGGGAAAAATTAGGCATGTGTTGAAATTGTTTAGCTCTGCAACTCTATGACAGTTCATCTTCTTCTGATCACATCAATTATTACAATTTTTTCTCAAGTTAGAATGAGAACATACCATGCAAAGATAGATGGGTCTCTAATATGGTGTGTAGCCCATCCAAAAATTGTGGTCCTGCATTTCATATTTATTCTATACGGATATTATCTAATTAATCTGTACTTGACATGGGGTTGATGCATTTCCATGATGAGAACAGTTAGCTCGCTAGTAGTCAAGTGCTTTATAATGACTTTAATCTCCAGTGTCTTATTGTTCTACTGACAAAAACACACTGACATATCCATGTTTACATTCATCTCATATCAGGTGAGAAAGAGAGTGCCTTATAATAGGCCATGTCATCAACAGAGATCTTTACCATGGTTCAATGGTTTAACATAAGCCCAGAATGGACAAATCAGGCAGCGTCCTATTCAGAGAGGGCTCTAAAAAACTTCTGAATTGTGATATTTCTTCCTCATTTCTAGTTGCGACTGTAGTTGCTGCACCATACTTGAATGGGAAGTTCAATGAGGTTTGAAACTCCAATTTCACCATTTGAGATGACCAATTCCTACACACAGCTTTTTGAAATTCAGCCCACTTGTCAGCATGTAAATAGATATAGGCTGAAATAAGCTCAGACTGTTATTGCCTGGGTCTATAAAAAAAATGACCACCAGTAGTTCAGGAACATATTCAGCAGGAGTAAGAAAGAAATGAGGGGCTGAGAATAAAAATAAATCATCCCCATGGATGTCTGTAACTTTAGGATGTGTCTGTCAAAAGTGTAGCTTTGTCTAAAAAATACAAGAAAAACATCCATCCATCCAGTATCTATTCCAGGTATTCCTGGTAGGGTTTCATTGGGGCAGGAGCCGACACTGGACGAAAGGCGGGACATAGACAACCAACCACAAAAACACTTTAAATTTACAGTACAGTGTTCAATTAACCTACTGTGCATGTTTTTAGACAGTGGGAGGAAGCCAGAGTACCGTCCTGTGAGGTGACAGGTCTAGCCAGCAGACCAGTGAAAACACTATTTATTTGATTTTTATTAGCATTTAAAACATTCTGAGCAATTCCAAGTTATCTCACATAAGTCATTTTTAGCTCAATGACCGAATGCCATTTTGTGATATCCATAATGCTTATCAGTCCATTTGAAATTAGGTCTTCTGTCTAAATTTGCCCTCAAATCATTAAAGTAATATATTCAGCATAGACATATTAACGTCACTGCAAGCAGCCAATCGTTTTGGTAAAAATCAAAATAGTCAAATGTATCCTAATTATCCAGAGTTTACTCTGGATTAGCTTTAAAAAAAAGACCAAGGTGCTCTTTTTGAACACTCACTAACTCATCCCCAAAAAAATTTAAAAACTGATCTATTTTAAAGATTATAATAGTATATGTTTAGTCCTTCATCACGGATAATAAACATCTTAACCCTTTAAAGCCTGATCCATCAATAAAACAAAACAGAAAATTACTTTTTTTTTGTTTGAATTCCTTATTTGGCCTTTTAACAAAATATGTAAAAAGAAAAAACAAAAATACATTTTTAATATTAATAATTTATTACTATGCTATACGTCAAGATTATTTTTCGTGTAGTCTTCTGTCCCCTGTTATCAGGTATATCTTATTGTGTACAATAGAATTTTGAGCAAAGTTTTTACCATTAAATTATGAAAAAGTTGTCAGACGCAAAACATTTCAGAAACCGTACGTATCAAATATGATCCGTTTGGCATTATAGGGTTAATGAAGCAAGGAAATTTCAAATTGGAAATCTCCCTGGCCTGAACATTAGGCTTCTATTAAGAAAAAGGACGTGTGCTATTGAGACAAATCTTATCATTTAACCATGACCTCTCACTGTCACTAGGGTGACTCAGAACAGAACTCCATGGATACTCCTGCCTAAGTCCACAGAAAATGTACTTACATATTTACCATTTAGCCTATTTTCTTGTGTCAATTTAGTTTATGGGTTCTTGCTTTGATCCTTCCTCTGACTTAAAGCTGACAAAAAACTGGAGTCACATAAACAGTGCATTTGCTTTAATGATGGCGGTGGTGATGTGTCCATGTTATCTGATCTGATCTCATACTTGTCACACAGCTGAGTAGAACCCTTTCATTAGGTTAAAAAAAAATCTAAAGTTTGAATATTGCACTTCATTCATCCTCCACTGGGATGCTTGCTGTCTCTTTGAATCAAGATGTACAGATGTGACGCATTAATAATTCAAGATCTTAAGCTACATCATGATGCGGTCCTCAGAACTCCTCGGGCACTCAATGGATTTTTTTTTTAAAGAATTAAGCCATTGAAAATGCTTTGAAGATAAAAAAAAAAGTTAAAGAAGAGATATAATCAGAAACACCAACATTAAAGATAGAGCTATGCAGTGAATTTCAGCGTATTAAGAGAATAACATAACCAAGGAGCTGGTTGAGATAGGGGAGTTCCTGCCTCACTATTTTGGGTCTATTGAGTTTGATCAGTCACAATTCTCTTTATTTCTTAATGTTTGAAAGCTGGAATATTTTCAGTCAAAGTCCAGTCCATGCATTTAGCCATAGTCATGTGTTGTCATTTGTATTATCTGTCCACTTAAATAGATCTGGATTGTGCGTTTTTTTTTTTTTCATGTTTCTAAGCCCGCTATCCTCCAAGGACGCGAAAAACTCGTGATATCGAGTTTAAATCATGACTTCAAGGCCTTCGCTGGACTGCCTCCGCAGAGATTGAGTCAGCATGTGCACATGATCAAATCAAAAGTTTTATTTGTGGTTCTGTAAAAGAGGTTAGTAAAGGTAGGCGAGAGGGGGGGGGGGAAAAGAACTCTCCACTGCTCCATTTTTTTGTGGCACTTTCTCCCTATTTCATCATTCAATCTTCTATCCAACTGTGACTTGTTGCCCATGGCCACTTTTCCCCATTTACTCACCAACGTGTAAAATACGATGTGCATACGCGGATGGAGCCCAGTACGATGGGGCATCCGAGATATTCCACGGCTAATATTGACGACTGCTCCTCCCCGCAGAAAGAAATAGAGAGAGCTTTGTTCGATCAACACTCTTTTACACGTTCAGTTTGCCTAAAAGAAAGAAATGAAGAACGTAAAAGCTGTAGCACCATTTCTAGTTGGACAGAAAGTTCAGCTTGGAATACGCATATTTGTGAAGGATGCTACAGAAAGCTTCAGAGCCATTTTGTTTACTTTGCTTTTTCTTCAAATGAAATGCTCCAGTAAGCTACGAGTGTTTGCCAGTTTGTTGCTCCGAGCT